TGACCGCATCTTCAGGTGAGCATGAGAGAGCGTCAAGGTCGTGGAGGCCATAAGACCCAGTAGATGTTGTGCAACTTTTGCTTTTATTTTTGCGTGGGGCTTGAATTTCCTGACGGCTCTCTGAATTTTTTGAATGCGTTCTGGAGGCATGAACATGCAGGCTTGAACAGAGTCTATCCTCGCTCTGATGTAGTCCATAACTTGAGAAGGATGTAACCTTGACTTCTTGTAGTTTATGGTGAGACCCACTTGACTTCTTGTACTTTATGGTGAGACCCAACGACTCTAACGTCTGAAGGACATACTGGGTGTCTATGAGGGCCTGATGTTTGGACTTGGAGACAATCAACCAGTTGTCTATGTAAGGGTATATCTGGATCCCCTGGAGACGAAGATATGCTGCTACTGGCGCCATGCACTTGGTGAAGGTCCTTGGCGCTGTTGAAAGGCTGAATGGTAGAGCCACAAACTGAAAAATTGTGTTGTTGAAGAGTAGACGCAGGTATTTCCTGTGACTCCTGTGTATGGTAACATGAAAATATGCGTCTTTCAAATCCACCACCACAAACCAGTCCCCCTTCCTCAGGAGGTGAATGATGGACTCCAGGGTCACCATCCTGAACCGGCGTGAGTTGAGAAACTTGTTGAGGTGTCTCAGGTCTAAGATGGGTCTCAAGCCACCGTCCTTCTTGGGCACCAACAAGTACCGGGAGTAGAAGCCGCTTAGGATGTCTTCTGGTGATACTCTCTGAATGGCTCCTTTCTGTAGAAGTGTGAGAATCTCTTCCTCTGGGGCAGGATCGAATGATGTAGGGTTGACCTGTCCTAGAGGAGGCAATTCTGTAAACTCCAGGTGGTAGCTGGAGTTTACAATGCTTAAAACCCAGGAATCCCGAGTGATGAGCATCCAGTTGTGGAGGTAAGGAGAGAGACGGGTGGTGTGGTTGGTGGCTGGTCTGGGTATCAGGGAGTCAAAGGTACTGTTTTTGTTTCTTTCCAGGGTTTTTGTAAGACTGCTTCTTGTGAGGTGGTTGTGCCTTGTAAGGAGCAGAAGCTGAGGATGCCTGAGAGGGGTGATGGGAAGCTTGGCCAGTATAAGAATGGTAAGTGCTACTGGATGGCTGTTGATAGGGCTGGGTGGTATATCTGGAGCGCCATTGAAATTTGGTTGGCTTGGCTTGAGGCTGGATGGAATATGATTTAGCCGTCTTTTTGCTCTTATGCACATTCTCCAGATTTTCTTCAGTATTTTGGCTGAAGAGGCCGGACACATCAAAGGGTAAGTTCTCCACCCTCGTCTTGATGTCTTCAACAATGTTAGCAGACCGTAACCAAGCATGCCGTCTCAAAGTGATAATGGATGCAAAGTTCTTAGCTGTGGCCTCAGCCACATGACGAGAGGCCAGGCGTTGGTGCTTTGAGACTGTGAGTGCCTCAGCATGTGTATTTAGGCAAAGTTGCCTGATGTCTTCGGGGGCTGTTTGCAATGCTGGTAGGACTCTGGACCAAAGCTGTTTTCGGTAGGCCCCCATGGCGACCAAATAATTCACTGCACGGAGAATGAATGTGGACATGGAATACATCCAACGTGCCAGGATCTCCAAATTTCTACCCTCTTTGTTAGATGGTGTAGGGTGACCCTTTGCTGGAGTCTTGGTAGAACTGGACTCCACTATAAGGGAGTTAGGTGCCGGATGAAGGACAAGAAAAGAAGTATCCTTGCCGTGAATACGGTAAAGATTTTCCGTCCTCCTAGAAATAGTAGTGGGATTGGCTGGGTGCTCCCAATATTCTTTGATTAGGTCAAGCAATTCCGGTATGTATGAGAGGCCTCTCAGCATTGATGTCTCCAAAAATAAGGTCTTCTTCCCTTCGAGGGGACTGTTCAACAGCCAGTTTCAAAGATTTAGCCATGCGGGAAATCATTTGAGAATAAGAGGAAAAATCCTTTGAGAGTGACGAGGGATGCAAGTCAGCTGCACTTGGAGGGAGAGGTTCGCCTGGCACAGGAGTGTCGATGGACACCTCCGATTCATCATCCTCTTCCTGACTAGAAGAGTCTCCACCTCTAGGTAGGTCATTGTCCGAGTGAGGGGTTGGATAGGTTGAGGTCGATCAGGCACGGCGTCGACCTGCTTCGGCACCGGTGGCGCCGGTCGAGGAGCGAGGGGAGGCTGCGTGGGAAGATGTGAAGAACCCGCAGTAGACTTCGAAGCCGCAGTCTTATGGGGCTCGGTGTCGAGAGGTATTCTCAATGGAGGGCTCCTAGGCGAGGGCCGGGACCGAGAGGAAGAGGAATAGGAATATCAGGACCTCTTCCTCCTGTGCCTCCTATCCCTCGATGAAGAGGAGGAGTCCGTTGAATAGTATCTCCTTTTACGTCGATGGCGAGATCTCTTGCGCCCTCGACTGTAGTCGGAGTCGGTAGGGGAGGAGTCCCATCGACGTCGATGGACATGCTTATGCTTGTGGTGACAGCGACGCTTCTTTGCTGGTGGTTCATCCTCATCCCTGTCCAAAAGCGGACGCCGAGGGACGTCGCCCTCGACTACCTTCTCTGGTCGACCTCGAGGAGCAGGAGGAGACCGGGAAGGAAGTGATCCCGAAATGACAGATGGGGATCGAGTCGCCCACCCAGTGAGAATTGGGCTAGAAGGGGCATTTGCTAAGCCAGCGATGATTTGACCAAGCTGGCTAGCTGTAGGAGACCTGCCCACATCCACCGGGGGCTCCTGTCGAGGTGGAAGGGAGGTTCCTAGCTCGGATGTCGAGTCTTGATCTCGAGACAAGTCTTCCAGCAGCGGAGAAGGCAAGGAAGCAGAGACCGGTGGGACTACCAATGTAATCTCCTTGGTCTTTGCCTTCTGTTTCTGGGTGGCAGTCTTCTGCTTCGGCTCCGATGTCGAGGGAGCCGAAGACTCCGACGAAGCCTTCTTTCCCGCCACTTGCTTCTTAGCCTTAGATTTTGAAGGTGTTTTAGCCGGTTCCTTGGTAGTCGAGGGGGAAGAGACAACTGTTACCTCAGACCGGACCATAGAAGCAGATTGCACGGAATCCATATCAGAAGGTTGGGATGCGGACAAAGCCTGGTTCCACAGAAAAAACTTAAGTCGCTGTTGGCGGGCTTTCAAGGTAGCTTTAGTGAAGTCCTTGCAATGTCTGCAATGGGTAGTCGAATGGGACTTCCCAAGACAAAAAAGACAGAGGGAATGCCCGTCCTGGAAAGTCAACTTTCTGGAGCAAGAAGAACAGCGGCTGAAGGGTCCTCTTTTTGCTGACATAAGTCAAGCAGCGTGAGAACAAACAAAGAGGGACTGAATAGAAAGAGTCCGGTTGGCGTGTGGCGCCTCAGCAGGTGGTAAATAGGTCACAATTAGGAGACAACAGAAGCAATCAAGTACTTGCTGTAAGCGACAGAGGCAAAGGAAAGGTCAGGCAGTCCGCGGTCAGGGCAACAGAGGTTCGGATAGACAATATAGTCAGAAACAGCTCGAAAATTAGGCAACAAATAAGCAATTTAGCAAGAGCTCTAAGCCGAGATGTTCCAACTCCGTGGGCGGAAAAATGGAACTGGGGTTTTGGCGGGCGGAGCGTGCGCAATACAGGACAACCTAAACTTTGTATCTTTTTCCCTATAGCTCTGGAAAATTCCGAGAGGACCAGCGCAGGCGCTGTTTAACCCATCAGTGTGGACTCATAGAGAACCACGTTGAAGAACTAGTGGATAATCATAGGTATAAGAAAATGTTTGAGAATTAGCATATTGAAAATATTGTATAAATTCAAAACTCTTAGATTTAGAGTCACTTTTCTCATGTGACAAGTCTTCAGGCAACTCAACATTAGAAGCTGCATGAGCAGAGGAAGCAAGAAGGCAGACAGAGGTTAATAGGTTTTCTCAATTTCTCCAATGACTTCAGAATTCATTATAATATTAATACCATCTTAGAACCTTATTAGAAATGGCAGTTTCTAATTTCTAAAAGCAAACCACTAATTTTGAAAACGACTGATTTTTTCCCAGTTACATCACATTGCATACAGTGGTGCCTCGACTTACGACCACAATCCATTCCAGAAGATGGGTGTAACTCGAAATGGTCGTAAGTCGAAGCACCATTTCCCATAGGAATGCATTAGAACATGATTAATCCAATCCAGACAAAAAAAAATCACAAAAAACCCAAAAACAAAACCCTACTCCAAGGCCCATCGGAACGCCATGGGGCTGGGGGGAAAATCTAAAACAACCCCCCAACACACACAGCCAGCCCCAATGGAATGCCACGGGGCTGGGGAAAAAAAATCAAAAACGCCCCCCACACATAGCCAGCCCCATCAGAACGCCATGAGGCTGGGAGGGGGGGAATCAAAAATACCCCCCATCCAGCTCTATCGGAACGAGATGGGGCTGGGAAAAACACACACCGGAAAACAAAAACAAAATCACAGCACAGAAACATAACCCCCCCAAACCCAAACCCACCCTGCAAAACTCTGTAAATGTACTCACCCAGAAGTAGAAAGCAGCACCAGGCAGTCCAAAGCCTCTCTGCAAATGCACACACATGATCCGTTGGGGTGAAAGAGCTACAAAGAAGCTCTTCGCAGACCAATGGTTAGCCCTCTACAGTAATTGGAATTCCCCGCCTTTTTCCCCTGCCTCTTTTGATCACAACTCAAAGCTCCAGCTGCAAGTCGAAGCAAAATTTTGTGGCCGGAGCTGGTTGCAACTCGAAATGGTCGTATGTCAGGACATTCATAAGTCAAGGCACCACTGTATAGGTCACTTGATTTCAAATTGAAGAAAACAAAAATCCCACCCCAAACTCCTTTACAGGTCGTCTACACACATGTATACACTCTTTTTTGACCAAACTCCGGGAGGCAGTGGAAGACAGGAAGCCCTGGTGTGCTCTGGTCCATGGGGTCATGAAGAGTTGGACACGACTAAACGACTAAACAACAACAACAACACATATGTTTGAAACAGATCTTACCTGCTCTGGAGTTTTGTCAGAAAAAAGAGAAGCTGAACCACCTTGTTCTTCATCAGGATAATCAGGAAACTTTCCTGTAACATGTCTGCATGAAAGCAAAATTTCCATTTTAAAATCATGTTTTTTTTCATTTTTTACTCCAAAGCAAATGCTTATATAAGATATGGAGATTTCTTTTAATCTTTGCATGAGTTTTATAAAGGTGAATATGTGCTGTGGACACATTAGAAAAGCACAGGATTACACCTCAGATATTGTGTCAACTGAGCATTTCCTAAGCCATTACTGACATGATTCATTAAAAAAAAAAAGTACAGTAATAACTTTTGGTACTTGTTCTTGAACTGGTATATCAACAAAATGAACAGTATGGGCTTGCTCTGTACCAAGCTGAATCGAGACTTTGGTGAGTACTTTTTAAAGCTCTATTTTGCTAAAATTTTTAAAAAAGGTTTCTGCCCTGCAACCATTTTTGCTAGTAGATAGCTAATTCTGTGGTTATTTTTCAAATGCCTACTTCTGTTTCTTGAAAAGAATATGATGCTCTCATCTGCTTTTTGTTATTTGAATCTGACCCACCTTCTGTTTACAAGATACATCTTGTTCTGCATAGTAAAATTTTCATAAACTCTAGCTGTGTATTCTCATTACAATATTCCATAGCAATTGTCCAAACTTCTTGTTAGCACTTCAGGAAAGTAATGAGTCTCACTGAGGTAGGTGAATGCAGCTTACTTTCGGGCAAGAGAGTTTATTGGAACTACATCCTTACCACAGGAATAAGTGCTACTGAACATGGTGCTGGTGGGGAAATGTGGAGGGGAGGAGAGGGAGAGAGGAGCCACTTGTGGAAGCCTACTCAGAAGGATGTCCTATTGAGTTACATGTGACTTATTTCCAGAGAAATCTGTCCAATGGGTTTTGAATAGACATGGGGACGAATAAAAAAATGAATCGTGATATTCGTCTAAAATTGCTGATTCGTTAAATATGCTTCCCTTCGTATTTGTGGGTTCCAGAGACGGAATGTATTGATACACATTTTACATCCTGGGACTACCGTCTCTCCTTGCTTGATAGATGCTCACAACACCAATGGCAGCACCTAACTCCATCTGCTTTTAAAGAACTTCCAGGAAGCCCTTCTCTTAGTCTCTCAGGCCCCAGTGTGTGGTCTACAGAAACAAATCACTGGCTTGGGATGATCCTGCATAAAAATGATGTGAATCCATGAGAGTCTATATGTTGGGTCCATGTTTGTGCACCACGGCAAAGCCTGTGCTGGAGTACCCATGATGTCTTTGTAGTCTGTGGGCACTGATGGTCCATATGATTGGACAGTGGTTTGAGGATGATTCTGCAGAAAAATCATTTGGATCTATGAGCATCTCTGCCTTGGATTGGTGTTTTGTGCCACTGCGAAGCCATGTGCTTAGGGACCCATGATTTCTGTCTTGTAATCTGTGGGCATTGATGGTCCCATATGATTGAACTGTGATTTGAGTGTGATCCTCCAGAAATATGTAGATCTATGAGGGTCTTTTTTCAGATTCATGTTTTTGCACCACTGCAAAGCCATGTGATGAAGGCCCCACAAATTCTCTGTTCTAGTGTGTGGGCAGAGATAGGGCCTATGATTGGACAGTGTTTTGGGGATGATTCTACAGAAAAATCATGTGGATCCATGAAGATCCGTGCATCAGCTCCATGTTTTTGCACGACTGCAAAGCCACGTGCTGGGTGACTCATGGTTTATGTGGTGTCATCTGTGGTGCAAAAAGGAAGTATGATCTGACAGTGGTTTAGGGAGGATAACATCTACAATCATATGAAATCACATGAATCTAAACAACAGGAAGAGAGGAGAACCTACAATAAGATGCTGTCGGTTTACCTGAGCAGAATTCTTAGTATTTTGGAAATCAGTCACTCATTTACAGTGACAAAGGTCTTGTGGGGGAACGTGATTTTCCCTCCCTTCTGTCTCCCTAACCTTAACCATAATTTTTCCTCCTCATTGCTGCAGCTGTCCTTCACTGCTGTTGCTACTGTCTCCTTACTCATGAGTAAACCAGTTAAAATATGCTTTGAGAAAATTCCCAAAGCTGACCCCTCCCCCAAATAATTTCTCAGTTTAAATGAGCTGCTCAATATTATTCTTTTTAATCGATGATTGTATCCGTATCCTAATTGATCAGAGTCATTTCAAAAGTCCGCTTTGGCTAAATAGGCCTGAACCAAATTTGAACCCCCAAAATACCAGGGTAGGGTGCAATATTTGTATCCGCGGCCTGATGGCCTAATTCCACAGGGGACCTTGAATCTTGGCAGCTGGAAAAGAATGGCACAACAAGGACAATTTTGGGATGAAATAAAATCTACCCTTCAAACAATACTAGAAGTAGTGAGATCCCATTATCAAGAGGCAAACTATCCAATCAACATCAGAAGAATTATAGCCCGCAAGCAACAGGGAACAATGAAGAAGGAAATGAG